TTTACTTATTTCTCACTGCAACATATCAGTTAATATATGATAGCACATTGATAGCGAAGTCTCTTAGTCGTAGTCTTGCTCCAGAATTCAAGTATTGTTTCTTTCCAAAATCGAATACATGTTTCTGTCCTCTAGATGGCTCTGTGTACCCTTCTACAAGGTTATATTCAGAAACCTGTGGCAAGATGCTATAGGGATTATTTAGCAATGAATGTGTTAATGAAACCAAGAAATATCCTACTTGGAACATATTGGAAGATAAGTGAATAAAGTATACACATAAACCTGTTTTTATTTTAATGTTTTTATTTTTTCAGGCGGGGGGAGGAGTTAATCGGATGGTAAGATTTAAGGGTATGTGGATGCTTTCATTTTACATCACAATAATGCCTCAAGCTGGAATTAATAAAATGCATGTAAATGTATGGAATTCCAGTATAACGAAGACACAGATCTTGATAATTACATGCACACGCATATAGGGATTTATGTGCACACGCAATAGACATATATTGTATCAGAATTTTTTTTTACAACTATATAAAACACGTGATGAAACAATGAACAGAATTTTAGATTTAGACTTTTATGAAAACGATAAGGAAACAAAAAAATCTATACTGAAAATACTACATGGAGAATGCTTTAAAGCAACATTTACAAATAACCAATATTGACTTATCACTGCACAAGATCACAAAATGTAAACCATTTAAGTTATATTTATTAACGTAAACTCAGTTTTATATTAACCAATATAGATAGTGCAGAGCTGATAAAAATATTATTTATATATCTATAAATCTGAGAGACTCAAAGATTGTTTGCTCACCAGATGAAAGTTAGAAGCCTTCGGAGAAGCAAGTATACAAGCTAAATTAAGTGTGTTTGATGCAGGCTGGTAATAAGTACTATAACTCTGGGCTTCCAGAACATGCTTGTTACCACCACCAAATGCAAAAACAAAAAACAGAATGGCAAGAGCTGGCCTCTTACACCTCCTTTCATAACAGGGACAGAGTATGGCTTCACAAGCACAAAAAAATTATTCAACAGTCACAATTAAACACAAACTGCCCAACGCTCTCCAAACTCAGCAACCAGCGAAACAGACTGTTTCAAGCCCCCCTCAGTGTGAATTGATTCTACTATGGGCCTCTTTTACTCGGCTTCTGAAAAGAGGGGGGTGTTTTGAGAATGATGAGGAACAAAAAGATGTGTTGTTTGTCTTAACCTTAGATCATTCGTTGTTGATATACTTGCATATCAAGAAGTAAACGCCTAAAGTGCCATCAATTTGGCATCAGGTGTTCTCCTGATTTTTAACCAAAACAGCATGGCTAGTTGTACTCCCCCACATTGCCTGGTAGATGGTCCAGTCCACAATTTATTCCAAGGAAGACTGACAGTTTTTGGGTCATGAAGCAGCTGTTGAAGTCAAGCGGCTCCCACCCTCCTCTGGAATAAGAAATGAATCCATTTTAAAGTAAATAACTAGAGCTTTGAGTTTACATGGAGAAGAGAAATGTATTCTTTCAAAATAGAAACAAACAGCAAACTTAACCCAGAACGTTTCATAAACCAGCAGATTTCACCACATATTAAATATTTTGTCTAATAAATTTGTGGTTTTATATCTCCCTGTTGTTTCCTGCTACACAACGACTGACACACAATAGTACTGTTATTTTTTTTCTTTTCTACAGCCCCTTTCGTATATCTTGTGTTATGCTTAGGCTGTCTCAAAAAATAGAGTGACATCTTGTTTACTATAAATTATGAAAAAATAAGCAACTTATGCATTATGAATTCTTATTAAATATGTTTATTTATCAAATATTGTAACAAGAAATATAAATGTGACCTGTTTATATAAAAAAATAATGTTGGTTCTTCCGAACCAGTTCTGCATTTTTATTTTTTGAGGTCGGCAGAAATTAGTTAATGGCATTGTTCGGCTTTGATGAATTCCGATATTGAAAAAAATTCGGGTAGACTATTAGGACAATCAGAACAGCTGAATAAATGCCAATGACATACAAAAACAGCTACAATATTGCCTGGCTTAATGGCTACTCAATATCAGATATTTTTTCAATGCCAAAATTAGAAGATTATATCCAGATTAAAAAAAAAAAATAGGAAGTGAGAGAACTTACTTTTAGAATGATTGTAATTGTTTTCTTTTTGCTATCCTGTATTAATTAAAAATGGGGAGCAGGAGTAATTTTAAGTTGAAAAAGGTGTATTTATCAAAAAATGAAAGGAAAGAGTAAATTGGCATTTGACCCACCCCTTCCACCTTGACATGAACAAAGCTCTCCCACACATTCAGTTTCAGTCACTGTCCTTCAGCTTGGTTTTTTAAAAAAAAAACACAAAAAAAAAAACCAGTGCCCTATCACCATTACTCTACTTCATCTGCGAAGGGAGCAGGCACCGCAAGGCTCAGGCGAGGCAAATCCACTACAAGTAAAATTTTACTTTCGTCTCCTTCACAAACATCCATGGCTTAAATGGACACGCTAAACATCAAAAGAACTTTAGATCAAGTAAGTGGTTTTAGCATATACAATCTGCCCCTGAAGTCTCACAGCTCACTTATTTGTCATTTAGGTGTTAAATAAATTGTATTTCTGTTTATGCAGCCCACCTCCCTTGTTTGTGACTCACACAGCCTACATGAAGAATGTGTTTCATTTTCAACCACAGTGTGCTTATATTAGATTTTTTTTTTTTGCTCATCCCCTGCTTTGTTAATTGAACTTGAATCACACATAGGAGACCTCTGCAGGCTGTTAACAGAGCAGGAGATATGAAAATTCTAAATTAAACAGAATGTGCAATAAAGGAAGTTTAAAATGTAGTTTCTTTACAGGAAGTCTGTAGGGACATGTGTAGGCCACATGCAGGGAAGATGTGATTAAGACTGCATAAACAAAGTGATTTAACTCCTAAATGGCAGATAATTGAGCAGCTAGATTTCATAGGTGTGAGCTAGACACAAATCCACTCCATTAAAAATAAAATAAAATAGTGATGGGCAATTCAAGACCCATTCAACCCTTCCACCCTGGGAAGACAAACTTTCCCCCATAGTCTGTAGGGTCAGTGACCATCCTTCAGTGTGGGAAAAAAAACAGTAATCTATTATCTTCTCCCAACTGCATCTGCAAAGTGAGCAGGTACCACAAAATTTAGTTAAGCAGGGCAAAACCACTCCAATGAAAGGCACTGAAAAAGAGGGAGCAGCAGGAGTAATTTTATATTTTTCAATGCTGTTGGTGTCCTATTATTGTCCAATACTCATTACTCTGTGAGGAGTCAAAGGAGTGTTGGGAAAAAAGCCTATGAATTGCAAAATTCTTTCTACCATACTTGAGGTGGAGTTCCATCATGTGCTGACATCCTTTAATATATGTTTTGTGGGAATCCCTCTTTTCTCTTGTTCCTGCCTCAATAGGTAGCTTTACTGCAGTGGAAATGCCCAGCAATTCTCCTGCAACACTCGAGTATGGTTTCAATAACCACACCCAGGCATAGTGGACTGCCAGCACTGTGCAGTCAAGGAAAGAAAACCATGCAGGCAATAGGAGCACTCCAAAAATCCGAACAATCAGATGAGTACATTTGTTAGCCTTCTGTTTTGACAAGGCCCTGGAATGAATTCCAACAAAATGTTCAGAAGTGGGCTGGTGGACACTTCCTTTGGATGATGAGTAGCCCAACTGTCCCTGTCCAACCTGTCTTTGTCAACAATTGTACTTTCATCAACATGGACATTGCTCTGGCTAAGGGTGGCAGAAGGGGAACATATATGGCTGCTGCTGTTGTTCCCCCCTTTTTTTTAAACTAGCTGTCATTGTAACCTTATGCTTGTGTTGAGATATTGGTTGCTGCTTGGTGAATCTTATACTATTGAAACACTATTGTGTTTGACTACACTGTACACAGTGCACTGCTTTGCGCAGTGCTTTGACAACTGCCCAGAACAAAGTTAAAGAAATAAAAAAGTCTTTACAAACTCATAATTAATCTTTAATGATACTGTATACTGCCTGCATTCCTAATATTACCACTAGTGCATCCAAACACTGAATATATTACTAAAGTAAGAAACTTGCAATTTCCAAAGCACAAGCAGTGACACAGAAGCATATTGAGAAGCAAATAATCCTCCTCTTACTAGAAGTAAAATAAAATATAAATCATAAATCAGTAAAACAATTCAAAATCTGTGAATTAAATTGGGTGTAAGTGGGACTCGCATTAGCAGCTAGGCAAGAAGAACTTTTTATTTATATTTCATTTATTTGTCTTATATTTCTTTAAGTATCTGGGTGAAGATGGGTCCAAGTATCTTCGACTGTCTCTGTTGACTGCTGGCAATTTCATTAACATCCCCACTGCCCTAGTTAGGATGATGGTAGTAGCAGTGAAGGTAGTGTTGGTGGTTCATGGTGACTACATAGCAGAATCAGATAGAGCACACATGGACGAACCTTCAGCCCTAGTACTTTCTTGTTCTGCTTCTTCCAACAGTAATACAAACGTATGGAATCTTTTCAGATGTTGCTTCATATGGCACTAGTGAGACGACCCTTAATTTTTCCCCTACTCACATCGTTAATGCACAATTTGTATTTTGCCTTCTTTTGGGGCACTCAATGTAAGTGATCAATATTTTTGCTTTGTTAATGCAATACATTAGTTGCCACCTTTTTGCCTTGTGTCTGCTGACAATGTAAAGGGATTTGCGCTGGTAGAAGTTGAACCTGTCACAACATTAGCCTGTACACTAGAACTTGATCGATTATTGCTAAGGGAAATGTTGATAGGCCAGGTGATTAGGTACAGGTGATTTTGATGGTGGTGGTATTGGTCAAGTAACTCCTAGGCCAGTGTTGAGGGAAACAGATCCTCAGCATTAGATTCAGCCCCACTAACACCACCAACCATCTACAGTAGTAATATTTACTTGGTACTCTACGACATAAATCTCCAAGTCTAATACTACATAGTAACATTGGTACATAGTTACTTAAGCTGAAAAAAGACCAAATTCCATCAAGTTCAACCCTGATGCCCATTCTTTTATTCTGTTTAACCCACAAGAAGGCAAAAACAAATGGTAGCCATTTCCAATCATGCCACAATAATAATACAACCTTCTTGACTCCATAACAGAAGTCAGATTTTTCCTTGGATAAGAAATCTGTTTACACTCATATCAAATATATCCAAATTATCTGTAGAATCTGATAACACAAATGCTTTAGGTGAACAATTTCACATCTTCATTGTTCTAACTGAAGAACCCTTTCCTTTGCTGTATGTGAATGTAACACCTTTCTTCCAGTCTCAAAGGGTGACCTCATGTCTGTTGAATATTGTTTCTAATGAACAAGTTAGCACATACAGACACATCTCTCTTACCAACCGTGTTCTGTTCTTACGACTCGGTTGTAAAACTAATTGGTCGGTAAGTGAGAATGCGCTACAGAGCATGCTCATCAGTGCAGGTCTATGTTCAGGGAAATTTCCCCAAAATTTCCCTGAATATAGACAAGCGCAGCAGAGCAGGAAATCCCTCAAATCTATATTCGGGGAACATAACACAGTAGGGTATTATAATACAATTGCACATTGTTGAATACCATTCATACCTCTGTTCGTCTAATGTGGCTGCGTGAGCGACCTTTATTCTGAGGTTCTGGCGTACCGGGTATGGTTCTAGAGTGCAAGGTGCCCACAGCTTAGCTTGTTTCCGTTTAGAGGAGGTATTACTATGGCGTGGATGTCCTTTAGGGGAATAGACCTAGAGGGGTGGAAGGGTAGCAAGGGAAGGGTGGGGGGGTATTAGTCCTGCCTGGTTGCGCTTGATTCGGTTTTTGTGGATTCTCCTTTAGTCCTATTTTTAGATAGTCTACGTAGGGGTGGTTGGCCCCTCGGCTAGGGGGTTTGGGTTAGGTAATCCCTGGGGGGGTGTCTCCAAAACTCAATCCAGAGCTCCCATGTTTTAAGGTATTTGTACCATCTCCCTAATACTGACCAGTGTATTTCTTCCATTTCTCTCGCCCATTCAACCC